CCGAAATTTGAAATCTGTAAAGTATTTTAATGAAATTTTTTGTCGTCGAAATTTTTTGATGGAAATGTGTTTCGTCGAAATTTTCAATGGAAATTGTTTTGAGGAAAATGTTTAATTTGAAACTTTCGACAAAATTTAGATTTTCTAAAGAATTTAGACAAAATATTTTTTCTGTCAAAATTTCTTATCGAAATATTTTTGTCAAAAAATTTTACGAATTTTTTTTTACAGAAATGTGTTCCGTTGAAAATTTTGATGGAAATATTCTTTATCAAAAAACTTGACGAAAATATTTAGTCGAAATTTTTTGATAGAAATGTATTTTGCTAAAAATTTTGACAAATTTTTTTTTTTGGTCAAAATTTTAACGAAAATGTTTCCGTCGAAAACTTTCGACGAAATTTGAAATCTGTAAATAATTTTGATGAAATTTTTTTCCGTCAAAGAATTTCGATGAAAATGTGTTTCGTCGAAAGTTTTTTTGAATATTTTTTTTGTGAAATATTTTGACGAAATTTAGATTCCGTAAAAAAATTTGACAACAAAAATATTCCTTCAAATTTTTTTACCAATATGTTTTTAGTCACAAATTTTGATGAAAATATTTTTCGTCAAAAATTTTAGCGAAAATTTTTATGAAAATATTTTCCATAAAAATTTTTGACGTAATTGTTTTACGTTAAAACTTTTCTTTTAATGTAATTGTGATTTTTTTTTCACATAATGGGTGTGGGTCAAGTTTTGGGTCAGTGGGTCAATATTCAAACGAGTCAGGTCTAAAACTGACCCAAATAAAAGTGGGTCAGTATTTAAACCAGTTCAAAAAATATGGGTATTTATGGGTCGGGTCAAGGTCGGATCAAGGGCAGGGCAAGTGAACCAGTTTTTTGCACACCCCTACGTAAAACCATGTTGTCATCATGAGTTAAAACCATTATCACACCCGTCATATATTTTTGGCACATAAGTTTCCTTTAGGGTTATAATTCTCTAAAGTTAACATGAAGGGTTATTGTGACTGTTTAACTCATAACTATGATCGTATTTTTGGCAAGATTACATAACTGGCAGGATGCTCAGGTGATAAAAATCATGTTATGTCGACAGTCTTATGTCTCTGTTTTCAAATCCTACTCTCAAAAGATTGCAGGAACTCAAGATTGATAAGAGGCGAAGACAAAAATCTCGTGTGAAACGCAGATAAACTCGAAAATTTTTACATTTGATATCAGCAAAGTTATTATTATTATTATTATTTTTTAAAAAGCAAAGTTATTATTTTGAACTGAATTAACATGATCTCGTTGCACTTATCATCTTAATGATATGATATTATTATTTTGTGAGATTTGTGGAAATTGTAGGTTTCACCGAAAAAGAGAGATATGAACCTCGTCTACAATCTGATGAAAGCGCATAAAGCTCTTAATCTTAGGTTTGAAGAAGCTTGAGGGTAAAGCCCGACAAAGGTTAAAAACTCAAGTCGTAACTTGAGGATAAAGCCTAAGGGTTAAAAGCTCAAGTATGAAGAAGTGGAAGGTAAAACCTTAACTGGTTAAAACTTTCAGCCTGCAAAAGAAGAAAAGGAAGGTAAAATCTTAACTGGTTAAAACTTCTAGTCCGCAAAAAAGAAAATGAAGTTAAAACCTTAACTGGTTAAAACTTCCAGTCCGCAAAGAAGAAAAGGAAGGTAAAAGGTAAAACCTTAATTGGTTAAAACTTCCAATGCGCAAAGAATAAAAAGGAAGGTAAAACCTTGATTGGTTAAAACTTCCACTACGTGAAGGAAATGTGAAAGCAAAAGCAACATCAAAACTTACACAAGCAGTATCAAACCAAAAAACATGCAAAATGGAAAGATATGCAAATATATGAATTATAAATTGTATACGGTACAAATATTGTTATGAATGCCTCAAGCACCAGTAAAGTACAAACCATAGTGTAAAATAAAGGTGCAGTGAAATGTACCTTCCAGGTTGATAAACAGAGAAATCACCTCGTAGAGTCATACATCTCGCTCCTCATGCTTTAAAGCATAACCAATGAGCTGGGGAGCTATTGATCCGGATATTAATATTAGCCCGGTATATAATATGAAGCCCACACTCAAAAGTCTTCTTCCTTAAGCAAAGATTGCAGTCAATAAAGGCTGCAACCTCTTCTCTATCTCAAGCCTGTCTCATCAAGCTCCTCAGTATTAAATGTTACAGCTATATTACTTCATCACCAAGACACTACTGCAAACAGCTACCCACAAGAACCAAGACAAAGGCTTGCTGCCTCATCCCCCAAAGATGCTCATCTCCCAAGCTACTCATCATTTCACTATATATATAAATGTGCTAACCACAAAGTATATATCTTCTTTTATATGATAAAACATGTTTGAACGAAATCTGACTTGAGCATCAAAGTGTCTTGCAGGTACACCCCCACCTTGTTCCATTGAAGACCCATGAGTTAAAGCTGCTCCGACTCAAGCCGGTTCCAGGCCAATTGTGTAGAGGAAGATCACATGGTCAGCCCAATTGTAAAACTGGATCTGATCTTTTGGTTCCGATCAAGTCTTAATATTTCTACCACACTATTTCTATCATCTATTCAAAATACTTTTAAATATATATTCAAAGTAGAACATTTTGATTGATTTAATGCTGCCTTTTTTATTTATAAAATTCTGGGGGGTGTCTTGCACATGAAATTTAAGATTTTTTTATATAAAAAAAACAAGAAAACATATTTGCTAATTCTACCAATGAACTTCATTTCAGTAACAAACTAAAATAATTTTTTTCGGTAATTTTTTAATTAAAAATATTGTAACTACCTAATGTTAAAAACATTATAACAAATATTTTTTCTACAAAGAAGTAATGTTCTATTAAATCAAGGAATTTTGAAAAATTATAAAAAATTATCTAAATAAATGAGAAAAACATCATAACAATTATTTATGGGAAAAATGTTTCTGCAGTTAATGCAGATAAGTTATCTGCATTTATTCCAAAACGACGTCGTTTTGGTATTGAAATCTTAAAAAATTATAAATATAAAGACTATTATAACCCTAAAATAAATTAAAATTTCAAAAACAACATGATTTCTGCCCCAAAACGACGTCATATTGAGCTTACTGCAGATAACTTATCAACCGTAACCGCAGAAAAAGCGAACTCATTATTTATATGCATAACTATTTTTGGCTAAACTAATGTTTTTGGTAATTAGCGCTTTTATATATAAATAGACATTGATAGAAGACTTAATATTGCATATAGTTTTATATTAACAACTCATAATCTTGAATATATATAAATTTAACCTAATTTACGATTATAATTTGTATACAAATCAAGTCTCCATATATAATTTTGATTTTCTCCGAAAGCTAACAGGATTAGAAAGTAAAACTTATGTCTCTCACATGTTCTCTGTGTAAAACCCAATATTGAACCTGTCAGATTTTATTCTTAATTATACATTTCGCATTGCTCAAGTAAGACAATGGACATGTCGATATTTAGGGCCGTTTGGTGAACAAGATAGGATAAGAGAGTTGGATAAAGATAGGATATGATATGGACAGGATAAGCACGTATCATATCTTGTGTTAGATGTGCATTGAATTAGCAATCTGATAGGATCATGCTATCCTATCATGTGTTTGAGGTGCACCAAATATTGAGCAACATATAACAAGGTCAGGATACGCTGGCATATCTGAGTGTTTTTAAAAAAAAAAATGAGTGGAGCCCATTTTTCTGTGTCTGCTACATAAAAGAAAGATCTGCAGTGACAACAGGGAAAATAAACCCATATATATAAGACAATTTTTTTTTTCTTTAATTTTAGACAAGAATTGATTTCTGCAGACACTTTGATAACAACATCAATTTTTTTTAAAAGCAGTGGACCCCAATAAATTGTCTCTATTGCATAAGATAATCTTATGCAACATAAGATTATTATTTCTCATATATATATATATATATATATATATATATATATATATATATATATATATGTTTGTTACTAGCATTCCTATTGATATGCTTGCTCTTTTGATTTGTTATTGCAACGTATTCAACCTTAAATAATATCATCAGTACTTTTAAACTTTAAGGCCAATTTTTTTTTTTAGTAAATTTTATGCATAAACTTCATTAGCTAATTATATTTGAAATAAATTTTTTTCTTTGGGCTAAATTACAAGATTAACAAATAAAGTACATGATTAAAACCTTAATCTGGACCCGTCCCGAACAGAATTGCTTCCGGTGAAAAAAAAATCTATGGTTTATAAAAAAGAAGAAGGAAATAGCATCATGCACAAGTTGTACAATCAATTCAAATAGTCAAGAAAGAATGGGAGTTAAAGTTCTCCCCTATTTGCTAACCATTCATTTTTGAGTAATTAGTCTTTCCTATTGAGTGAAGGTTACACTAGCGAAGTAAATAATAAGTTACAATTTAGTCAGTATTTAGTACTCAAAAACATGTATGCCCTTTTTACCATAAGCTAGTAGGGTTTTGTGAACACAAAGTAATTGCTTGCTATGTAACCTGTGTATAAATATATTTGCATGCCATATGCAAGACGAAATAAAAAATAAAAAATAAAAATAAAAACTAAAGGCGATAATGATTAGTCAATTTCTAATAGCAATTGTGTTGACTAGTATAGCATTCAACGATTATTGCCTTTTTCCCTTGTTTACCCATATAAAATCCCTCTATGAACTTGCTCACAGGATAAATAACATAACGGAAAAATTATAATTGTCTTTATTAATATGAATGAGAGTTACATAATGTAGCCATCAAATAAAATCTGAATGAAAACATAATGCTAGATTACTAGGAAAGCAATCCTTGCCATTGGATCCTTGAAATCAATTACCCTGTAATTAATGCATTCTAGTCCTCTCCTATTAAGGGTCACAAACTAGGTGGCTTGAAACAGTACTTGCTCTCATTTTCTGTTACTCTTTCTGTCAATGGATCTTGAGACAAAGCTCAGAGAAAACTATGCCTCACACCCAATGCATTTACAAGAAAGCTACTTGAAACCCAGCATGAAAGATGAGCTTCCTTTTGGATTTCCTTCATGTCAGGGATCCTTGCAAGATTTTCACCATATTAACCAGTTTAATATGAATGGTTTCTCATCCAATCCAGTTTTAGGGGTTCAAACTCCAAATTTTGATCCATTTGATAATTCTACCTTTCTTCGTTCACCAGCAGGTTTCGATGTTTATGAGTGCAAACCTTCTGTGGAGAATAATAGTAGTGGTGGGCATGCTCATGTTATGGACAATTTCCTATATGGAGGTTATAGTTTGAACCTCCCACAGAGGAATCAAGTGGATATGATGGTTGCAAACCAAGGTTATTTGCCCTTCAATCCTCAAGAAACCAAGCCCGTGAATTTTGTTGTACCAGATGAAGTTTCATGCATATCCCCAATGAATTATTACAAAAAAGTTGGCGTGAACAAAAGTAATAGGGCATATCCAACCACTAGAAGGACATACAAAGTTCGTAAGAAGTCCAACATAGTAAAGGGACAATGGACAGTAGAAGAAGATGGGTACATAAAAACTTGAACTATTTTCCATTAAATCTGTTTTTTTTTTTCTTCCAATTTATTCTTATTACATTGTATTCTTTTGTATACAAAATGGAATTTTGCATATTTCTGCTAAAAAAAATTGTGTATCTATGCTGGCACAAACAGGTTGTTGATTCAACTGGTCGAACAATATGGATTAAGGAAGTGGTCTCATATTGCTCAGATATTGCGTGGAAGAATAGGAAAACAGTGTAGAGAGAGATGGCATAACCATCTAAGGCCTGACATTAAGGTGCCAATTTATTTTTTCACATTATATATATCCAGACATCTCACTCCTTGGTCTATATATCAAGGCATATATATGATGAATTAAGTCCTCCAAATAAAAGTATATGTATATAATAAAGGGAAAAAGCAAATCTCTCTGCACAAGGTTTCCTGACTTGCGAGATAGGGGTATTCGCGGTCTGGATTGGATCGATTTTGGAAGCAAAAACCATCCGATCCAATTTCTTCGGTTTGATCGTGTAATCATCCATTCGGTTTGAATTTTTTTTCAAATCCGATCCGATCCGATCCAATTCAATTTTTTTTCGGTTTGGATTGGATCGGTTTTCGATTTTTTGAAAATCCTAAAATTAGTTTCATGACTATTGTGCAAATAACATCTTTGTTATATATTGGCTTTGTAAATTTATTTATTTTTTGAAATACAAAAGCATTATTAAACGATAATATAGTTTTTTTTTTGGCAATGAGATATGAAGCTCTACACAGATAAAATTTTGTTAGGATGTGAGTCATGTGACTAGATTTTTTCTTGGGTTTAGTTGATGGGTTAATGAGTCTTGGATTTAAAAAATGTTGGGTTATGATTGGAGAAAGGCCCAAGTAGATAGAGAGAAATTAATATATTGGATCGGTTTTCATCAACCCATCCGAAAATCGATCCAATCCAATTAAAAAAATCGATCCAATCCAATTAAAATTTGCAGTTTTTTTTCGGTTTTTGGTTTTTCAATTTTTGGTTTATTCAGTTATCGGTTTTTCGGTTCGGTCACCGCGATTTGAATCGGTTTGGATTGGTTGATGAACACCCCTATTGCGAGGATAAGTAAGAGAGTCAATTGTTCGTAGCCTCAGAGTTTGATTCCAATAATCCGTGACTATCTGGTTACAAGGAGCAATCTTACTCTCTCTTAATATTACATATGTATGGGAAAATACTTTCTTATGTTGATGAAGAAAGCATTTCTCATGTCACTCATACATCGATATGTGTGTATTGTTTTTTTTTTTTTAATTTCTTAATGGTGGGACCTACCTTAAACATATGTGTGTAGGAGAATTCCTTTTCTCATATGAAAGGAGAAAAACAAAGCCCTATATGTATATACAAATTCACAAAAATATGTTTTCAATTCTTCTTGCACCCTTTTGCAGAAGGACACGTGGACTGATGAAGAGGATAAGATATTGATCCAAGCTCATTCAGAGATAGGAAATAAATGGGCTGAAATTGCAAAAAGATTGCCAGGAAGAACTGAGAACTCAATCAAAAACCACTGGAATGCAACCAAGAGAAGGCAATATTCCAAAAGAAAGTGTCACTCAAAGTACCCTAGAAGCTCTCTTCTGCAAGATTATATCAAAAGCTTGAACTTAGACAAAAACCCACCATTAGACTATCGGAGAAGGTCTTCTGCTAATGCTAGTTCCATGAAGAACAAAACTAGCACAAGCAAAGTTGCAGCACTAGCTCATCCCCAGATAGCAGATTGCTCTGTACCAAATTATGATTTTAATGAGATCCCAGATTTTTCCTTCGATAAGAGTTTGTTTGAAGAAGGGTGTAGTGTTGATTCTCTGCTAGATGAATTGGATGAGAAGGACTTTGAAGGAAAAATGAAATGTGCTCCTAGTATGGAAGGAAAACATTCTGACCAGGGAGGAATGTATTATTCTCCTGTTGTGAATTTTGATGACAACCTGCCACTGGAGATTATGGCACCCATGCTGGGGGTTGAAGTTAAGAAGGAGCTAGATTTGGTGGAGATGATGTCTCAGGTCAACCAAATCGTTGATGTTTAAGTCCTCCTATGAATGGCGCCCATTACAATATGCAAACCATATATATTTAGGATATCGAGTCTACCATCTTCTTTTTTCCATGCTTATTCTGTCTACTCACTTTTAGATCAGAATCTCAATTAACTTTCGTAATTTTTATCTTCTCTTGAGCGGATCTAACGTTGGAGAATAATTTTAGTGGTCCCTTCTCTAAACGTGGAAAAAATGTTTCCACTCTACTTATTTTTTTTAATTTATATTTTCATTTATGTCCCTAAAATTTTTTCACATTTGAAAAAAAGACCACTTAATTTGAGTGGTTCTAAACCACTAAAAATATTCTTCTAATGATATTAGAAATGAGTAGATAGAATAGATATAAAAAAAGATAAGCAGAATATCGTATTCCTATCTTTAGTTATTTATTTGACATACGTTTATCGGAGCAAATTCATACCATCATACAATGATGGAACTTGGAGTCTGAATTATCATTCGATTACTCTTCTGCGTGTTTCTGAAATACAAAAACAAAATAATCTAGAAATATTATATAATAATCTGGCAATATTATATATATTTTTATGAATAAAGTTTATAGCTAATTTTTTGTTTTTATTTAAGGAGAAAAGATATATTTTAAGTTTTGAACCAGCTTTGAGAAAAAGGAAATAAAGATGGCAGTTTTATTGGCTTTAATTAATTTCACATATTCGGTAGAATTATATGTTTGTATCTTACAAAAATTCAGCACCACAGTACTGCATATATATATATATATATATATATATATATATATATATATATATAGGGTTCAGCGGATGTAAAATGACTGCACTTAAGGATTGGTGCAGTCATATAAAATTAAGTCGTTTTATAATGTAAAAGCATTATATATGGGGAATAATAACCATACAAAGATGGAAATAAATATAAAAAATTAAACATGAGGAATCATAACCATGCAAAGATGGAAATAAATATAAAAAATTAAACATGGGGAATCATAACCATACAAAGTTGGAAATAAATATAATGTTTTTATTTTCTACAATTAATTTTAAATGCGAACTTCCTTTATCCCATCCAAAATGACGTAGTTTTTATGTGACTGCACCAATGTTTATATACAGTCACATTATAAATTATTTTTCCATATATATATATAGGAAAGTTATACTTACAACCTTTTTTTTACAACCTCTTACAATCATATCTTAACACCGTTGATTCCGCCAATCAATGGTTATAATTTTTGCAAATTAAACTCATTAATTAATTATTAATTCACAATAAATGATAACCGTTGATTGACGGAAATCAATGGTGTTAACATATGGTTGCAAGTAGGGGTGTAAATGGGCTGGGCTGGGCTGGGCTTTGGCCATCCTGGCCCAAGCCTACGTCAAAAAAAATTCAGCCTATCTGGCCTACTGGCCTATTAAAGGCTTTATTTGTAGGCCAAGCTCGGCCCATTTTCAAAAATAAGAAAGCCCGACATGGCCTACAGGCCTTGTAGGCCTCCCACTATATATACTAAGCAAAAAAAATAATTGTTGATATCAAAAAAAAAAATAATAATAATAATTGTATAGAGCAAAGAAAGCTCCATTCATGCATGCACTAATACTTCTCATAAGAAAAAAATGACAAACAAGAAAGAGTCAACATACTACCTCAGCTCTAGAATGTATATCATAGAGGAATAGAGTCAAAGAAATGGGAAAAATATGAAAAATACAATTACTGGATGCTGAAATAAAGTCTACAAGAGAATGTCATTCATTTAAAAATCTTTAAATCACCATCAAGATAAGGGAAAGAAGAGTATTATTGAAAGATTTTCATCAGCAACATCATAATCCAGCAAGGTACCCATTGCTCTATGGTATTAAGCTGCAACAGCATGTAAAATTTGGAGACATTAGACAAGTTTTCCTTTCATAGAATAAAATAGCACAAAAAGTAAGAGATATTAGTATTTGGTACTTTGTGTCTTTGCCACATAAAATAAATATTATTTTATTATTTTATTTTAATAAATTAAATAGGCCAGCCTACAAGGCTGTAGGCCGGGCTTGACAAAATTGGCCTATGGCCTATTTATTAAAAAATCTTTTTTATAAGCCTAAGCCTACTCTATTTTTCTGAAAGGCCGGGCCTGGGCTGGGCTCAATGTAGGCCGGGCCGTAGGCTGGGCTGGGCCAGCCTGGCCCATTTACACCCCTAGTTGCAAGAGGTTGTAAAAAAAAGATTGTAAGTATAACCTTCCTCATATATATATATATATATATATATATATATATATATATATAGGTAGGATCCTTTGACAATTTGACACCTCATCTGAGAGCCGTTAGATCAAAAAAGATCATGGTGTCACATGTTTGCAAATCAAAGTTGTTGATCTTTTTTTATCTTATGGCTCTCAGATGAGGTGTCAAAATTGAAATTTGACACCGGTGTCAAAATTGAAATTTGACACCGGTGTCAAAGGATCCTACCTCATATATATATATATATATATATATATATATATATATATATATATATATATGACTTATCATTTCTCAAGTTGTTTGAGATAACTTTATATCCGGCTACTAAATCATAACCGTACAAAGATGAATCAATGATTATAAAGGAAGAGAGAGAAAAGAGGAATCATAACCATTTAAAGTTGAATCAATAAAAATAAATAAACAAAACGACGTATTTTTGAATGGACGGAAATAAATATATCTCAAGCTGCATAAGAAATATTTTTCTCACACACACACACACACACATATATATATATATATATATATCATTATTTTTCTAAAAAACCCTTTGGCCTTTTTAATTCGGTGGAGAAAGATGTAAGAAAGTCACATTAGAGGATAAAACAGTGTTGGATCATAGAATTGAACTTGACGATTGTTTTCTTTCTTACTAATTTACATTATTAACTGACTTCAGAATAAGTTAACTTATGCAAGTAAATGATATGAAAAAAACAATTAAAGAATGCGTTAATATTTAAGCCTGGATCGAGAAATTTAATGTGTTTGAACAATACGTTAATATTTAAACCTTAATCGAAAAATTTAATGTGTTTATTTCTATTAAAGATCAATTAAAGTCTTAATCTAAACACTTAGCAACTTAAAAAAAGAAAGAAAGAAAAAAGATTGGGGGATGGCAATGCTTGGTTGAAGGAAAATGTTGAGATAGATGGGTAAGTGAGAAGTGGAAATATAAGGTATCCATGTTTGGTTGTGTTTGATTTTATACTTATCTACCTAAATCAGAAACCTACCAAACCAAGTTACTCATCTATCTTGAAATAGCCGGCCAAAGTATCCTGCAGCCAGTGTGGTATTGGTAGAAAGCAACCTATTTGCTCACACTACATTTGTACCAAAAGACCATCATACCCTCTAACTAAGTGTGCGAAAGGAAGTTTGTGAAGGTTGATGGCTATGGTGGTCACTTGTTTTCTGGCATGCGCTGGTAATTAGTATCACTAAGCAAACCTATTTGGAATGGTTTTCTTGTTGATCAAAGAGGGAAATGTTAACATTATTTTATAAATTTGAGTTTCTCTTTCATTCTGCATTTGTACAACTAAACCTTCTAACTGGTCCGATGGTGGTTGTGAGTAAGGGTTGGACCGATTTGGTCTTCAAATGAGGATGGGTTTTTGGGTCACCGGTGGTGTGTGGTGGTGGCTGAGGAGGTTGGCTGGAGTTTGTGGGTAAGGGTTGTGAAGAAGGAGACGGGACGGTGGTTGTGGTGTAGTCTTGGCTGGCTTGAATCGGCTCAGAGGTTGTGGACGGTGGCTATGGCATCTGCGGTGGCTTTCGGCGGTGAAGATGGTGGTTTTTGGAGTGGGACGGTGGCTGAAATAAAAAAAAAAAAAATTTTAAAAGCGGGGTATTTTCGTAAAAATAACTTTTTTTTCTATCTATATTTTACATACACTCAAACATAGACTTTATAAAAGTTACCTAATTTCTCCATCAAAATTTTATCCAACCAAACAACTTTTTTTATATTTTTCTACCAAACTCACATTCCAACCATTTCTCTAGTAATCACATTTCTCTATTATTCATAAAAATTTCTCCTCAACCAAACGCCCCCTTAATTTGTGGGTCTACAAATCGCTTGGGAGCAAGGCTATAGGAGAGTGTACTTTGAAGGTGATTCCAAAAAAGCTCAAGAGCTTCTTCAGCACTTTGATGATGGGCATCCTTTACTGCCATTGGTAAGAGATATTAAGAAGTTCCTGCAAAGGCCTTGGTTGGTTAGATTTCAACATGTGCTTAGAGAAGGAATTACGATAGCAGGTTGGCTTGCTAAGCAGACACCTTTCTAGGACTGGGATATGCAGGTCTTTTATAGTCCTCCACCGGAATGTAGTTTGCTGGTCTATAATCATCAGATGGGAGTTGTCACTACTAGGATTTATTAGTTTTTTTTGTCTTTTCTTGTCTGTTTACTTTCGTGTGTCTCTTCAAAATATATATATATTGGAAAAAAATATTTCTACAGTTACTATATATAAAGTTATATACACAGCTATTCAAAAATTACGTCGTTTTTATTAATGAAGTGTGTTTCTGTAATTTCAAGTGAATTAATGAAGAGTGTTTCAGTAAAACGACGTAATTTTTGAGTAGCTATAGGTAACTTTATCTGAAGTGGCTGTAGAAATATTTATCATATATATATATATATATATATATATATATATATATATATATATATATATATATATATATAGGGCTTAACATTTATCAAGCTGCCGGAGATAACTTTATATCCGGCTACTAAATCATAACTGTACAAAGATGGATCAATGGTGATAAAGAAAGAGAGAGAGAAAGGAAATCATAACCATTCAAAGGTGAATCAATAAATATAAGGAAATAAATAATCAAAACGACGTAGTTTTGGATGGTCGGAGATAAACTTATCTCAAGCAGCTTGAGAAATATTTTTCCCATATATATATGGCTTTTTGACCCTTTTGCCCCTAATTAAATAATTAATAACCAATTTGCCCCTCCTCCAGAACTATCCACCATCCTGCCCCCATTTAGTCGATTAAGTTGCACTTT